AATTGTGCTTTGGGCAAAAATATACAGAGCAGAATTTGTTTTACATTCAACATTTCATGTACATTTGGTTTCACTGCCCAGTTACCATCCCCAGCCCTCACCCACCCTCCTCTCCTTTCCCATTGACCTCCCCCCTCCCTGTGCCCTTCTTAGTTATGCACTCCTGTCTGTCCATCTTGTCCCCCATGTGAATGTTGCCCCTCTGGTGCCCCATGGCTGATTGCTCCAAGGGATGTATCTCGGTGGAATAGGTATGTGCATTGCCCTGGGTTGGAAGTTCTGCGTGTAAGATTTATTACTGTTAGGCTGAGAGCCAGCCCTTGGGAGTGAGTTTTATCCCAGGTCAGGAGTGTATCCCAGGGCCATAGTCCTTGATTTGGTCCAACTCACTTTGCAGTTCAACTGGTAAAGGGCCTAATGGTCTGAGTTTTTGAAATCAGGAGGGCTTTGTTTCAAACATGCATTCAAATCCTTTGAAGCTGCTTAACTTCCAGGAACCCCAATATTTTCTCATTTATAAAATGGGCTCCATGGTGGTTAATATGATGTATTGTTTAGTGATTAGAGGGAATAATAGATAGATATTGAGCCTCTAACAGGTCCGAGACACAGAGTCCTCAATAAATGGCAGCTGCTTTTCTTTTTTTTAAATATTGTTATAATACTGGGTGCTGTTTCTTTCTGGGAAACATGGCTTTGTAAGCTGGAAAACATTTTGGGACAGTGAAATGACAACATCTGTGAGTATAGACTCTGACTCAAAAGCCCCAGTTGTAGGCATTATCCTTAAAGGGAGAGTTCATAAGAAAAAGAATGCCTTTGCGAATCAAATGGGCAATTTCAGCATTAAATGCAATAGAGCACGTAGTTTGACCTTCAGGGACTAAGTAATTTTTGATTTTGCAGCATCTATTGGGCATCCATCATAGTGCCTGGTACATACCAGATGTTTGTAAAGTGAATGAAGGGACAATGTTAGGTGACCTGTGCATCAACTCAATGGGAACGCTACTCAGCAGTTTGCAGGTATTTAGGTGAGGTGTGCAGGACTGTGAAAAAGTTCAGAGTACACCAAGCAAAGCTGCACATTCACTGTGGTTGTAGCAACCATGGTATAAAAAAAAAGCTAGAGAGAGAGAGTGAAAAGTAACACTGTATTTTTAGATTGGCAGGATAAGAAATGGTTCATTCTTATTTAATTCTTATCTTTAAACATTCTTCAAAAGCT